CCTGTGCTGCTGTCAGGTGAATTTTAAAGATATTTACCAAAAATCTAATGAATTACCTATTTTAGCTGTTATGTCGGTGGGACGTAAAAGTGTTTCCAAGTCTGGCAGTGGAACTAAAGCTGCTGACGAGTCCGTTCGATCAAAGTAAGCATTTTAATTCAGCGAAGCCATGCTGGTTTGTTTGTTTTACACTTATGTTTGTTAATTGGTATGAAGTTTAATAATTTATGTAAGTACGTGAACTTTAAGCGTCGGATAACCACTTATCGTTAAGATTGCGTTTAGTCTCTAGCTGTCATTCTCTCTGATGATTACGGTGAATGAACGGTAAATTTCTGAATTAGTCTTCAGTAGAGCTATACAGCGAGATTTAATCAGAGTAAACGACGAGTATCCCAAAATTGGAAAAATTACACAGTGGACTCGTTTAACATTTACATTGATTATAGAAGATGAGGTTGCGAAATCAGCCGTTACCTGTGATTGCTGAACAATTTCACGATGTCTCGTATTTCTTGACGCTTTTTGCAAGATTTCTGCGATGCGCCGTAGTAGCAAGTCAGGTTGTCAGGTTAGTTTACTACTGTTCAGAAGCTTCTATCCAGCCGACCTTAGGCTGTTAATCTATGACTGATTCTGTCCATAACACGCTTGGTGCAGAAATGCTGGAATACGAGAGTACTTTTTCTGCGACAGCTTCATTTCATCAGCTGTTGGGGAACATTGGTTAAAAACTTACATACGTTTGTAGTTCCATCGTGGTGTTGACTTTTCTTAGGAAATGTTGCGCCTTGCATACAGGATTTCATCTGAAAGTTAATATGGTTCTGTGTGAGATAAGTTGCTGTTTCCATGCGCGTGTTATAAACGCTGAAAATTTACATAATTGCAACTTCGTGAGCAAGTCTCAACTGGCGCTTGACTAACAGTGTTCATGCTATGGTATCGCTCTGCATGTTCTTTCGAATAAACGAAAACGTCATTCGTCATTACCCAAGAGATTTTAAACAATTGAAGTCTTCGAAAATGGTTGTTTGAATGATTCATTGTTCGGGGCACTAAATACAGCAGATAGTAAACGGTTTAATGCCAGCCCGTTTCACCGCATTGACCGCAGCATCATCAGGGCTGGACTGAGTGCAAATAACTGTTTGAAGGCATTTATGTCCAACATACGAACAGTGCCAAGTTTTCAACTGGCTCATCACATACAGTCAAGACGTTGTTACACTATCTGAACAAAGTATAACGTTCACATCAAAATAGATCGTATCTTTTTCATTGTGACCTGATTTTGCGCATCACTTCTATGATTGCTCTCCAGCTTTCACTGATGACAACAGAAAATGCGTGTTCGTTGCACATCCGGTTTTTCATTGCCAGTATATGCAGGGATTCCTTTATCAGCAGACCTCATTTCGCCTGATCTTTGTTTATGACAGACACATTGGTCTGGCTGAAAAAAATGCTTCAGTAATCGCATGTTGAGCAATACCGGAATTGTCAGCCTCTTCAAAGCGAAGTGCACGGTTATTAAGTTTCCGGTAGGTTTTTCTAACGTACACCTTATCGCAGTCTCTGCATTGAACTTCGTAGACAACATTTAACACATCTTCCGGGTTACTAATGGGTATGTACTCTGTATATAAAATGTTGTCCAAAGTTCTGCTAGTTCTGTAGTAGACCCTAAATCCTGTGCCATCAAAGTACCTCGTGATACGTTGACATACAGGGGGTACGAACGTTAAATTACCATTGGTCTACTTGAACTAACCGTCTTTCAGTTTGAGCTGGGGTGCTAAAGTTCTTCGTCCTGGGTCTTCCTTCGGTAATCGTTCCTTAGAAATGCTTGGTGTCGACGTTGGATTTCTGCTTTGAGCCAGAACTGTTAGTGCAAGTCTTCTGCTCGGAGGCACGTTTTTCATCACCTTCCTAAGTATTCGAGCAGGGACACATGGTACCGGATGTAGGTAACGATTGGAATGTGTTGGTTTCCGATAGACAGAAACCTCAAATTCAAGCGACTGTGTCCTCTTCAGAGCACGTCCGTAAAAGATATAGAATGGTCAATTTCCACTTCGAGAGTAAAGCATATGTGGCCATTTTTATTCAGTGAATTACACGAATGGACAAGGCAACATACTCCAATTGACACCTGCACCCGGCGCCATGTGTTCCTCCTAAATTACTTGGGAACATGGTTAAGAACTTGCATTTCCGAGCCGAAGAGACTTGTGCTTACAGTTCTGGCCCAAACGCCGAAATCCGACGTCGTCACAAAGCATTTCTAAAGAATGGTCACCGAAGGAGAATCCTTGACGAAGAACTTCAGCATCCTAGTTCAAATGTAAATATAGCTAGTTCATGTGAACAAACGGTAATCTTACCATTCATACCCAAGGTATGTCAGTGTATCACAAAGTATCTTAATGACATGGTGTTTAGGGGCTATTGCAGAACTGGCAGAACATTGGGCATCATTTTGTTTAAAAAGTACTTTCCCATTAATAACCCTGAAGAAGTGTTAAATGTTGTTTACGAAGTTCAGTGCAGAGACTGCGACATGGTGTACACTGGAAAGACCAACCGGAAATTGAAGATCCATATAAAAGAGCACCTTGCTGCGGTCCGCCTTAGACCGGCTGATAATTCTAGTATTGCACAGCATACCATTACTGAAGGGACGAGCTGAGGGGCATTCTTTCAGTCAGGCCAGTGTTTCTGTTATAGACAAAGATGAATATAATTTACGTCTGCTGATAAAGGAGTTCTTGCATATACTTGTAATATGAAAAATCGGATACACAACGAGTACACATCTTCTGTTGTTTTCAATGAAAGCTGGGGGGCGCAATCACAAAATTGATACGCAAGATCAGGTTAAGATAACAGAAATTCGATATGCCGGAAAACCAAGTCTTTCGGAATTATGCATTGATTAAAATATTCTCTGTTAACTGGCCGACATATTGATACTTGAGGGTTTTGCTTTCTGTAATGTAACTTCGTCACCCCTCATTTTAAAACGCATTCAGCCATCACAGTACGAGATTGTATGACAGAATGAATACTTTAAGAAGTATATTGCTAAGCCACTAAGGCAGAGGCTCATCCAGAACCCTGAGGCAGTCGGCTAATGATGTAGTTGTAAAAATGGATTTGCAGAGATCCTTATTTTTTTAATGCACTACTGCTCAGAAAACAGGCACTCCAGTTGCAGACCCGCGAGGAAGGATTAGGATCCATGGCTGTCCGTGTTAATTTTAAATTTGTACATTGTGAGATGTTCTCATCATGCCTTCTGCTTCCGAACAGAAGATGACGAGTTGTACCTTAGGCCGAAGAAATTTCAAGCTGACCGATGGCATAAAAGATAAGCAGAACAGGAAACGTTAATCACGCTGCCTGCTTAGTCGAAACGTGGAAATACGGCGCTGGGGTAATCCCGAGAGTTATCGTCGCTTCGGCATCTTTCTTAGCAGAAAACGCGATTTTTTTCTAAGGTTGTTCTACTTGCCACAACTTGTGGACCCCCTTGCCGGCAGCTGAACTTGGGTTGGCGAAAAAATTGTATTTAGAAATTAACCGTAGCAAATTTTGCAATTTTTTGTGTGCCGTAGGATTCACTTAAGTAAATTTCATTGACTAACTGACCTTTGTCGCAAGTCTGATTCTTTTTTAAGGGTCCGACATTGCCAATCTGAGTATGTCTGCTGTTGAAGTTTTATTAATCCCTGGTTATGGTGACGACGGCAGTAGGAGCTACTTCTGGTGCGTGCACTGTTTTAGAAGTAGGTTTCTAAACTTTCTTTTCAGTTAAGCAATCAGTTTCAGTCAAGCAGTAACAGTCTTTTCAGTTAAGCAATTCTTCCTAGTCAGTCAGTCAGTCAGTCAGTCAGTCAGTCAGTCAGTCAGTCAGTCAGTCAGTCAGTCAGTCAGT